GGTTCTCGTTTGAACCTCCACCTATATATATATATATATTTGGAATTTTACCGCTATCGAATGAGTTGTTTTGCAGGACCTTAAAATCATGGTTCAAATATACTTAAAATCAACGAGGCCAAAAGTCTTGCACATTAAAACAACAAAAATCTCTTAAAGTGAGAAAGTAATCAACTCTCAACTTTTTTGCATATTTTCAGAGGGCTATAGTGCTCTAAACAATGACGACCTACATCACGATGATAGTTTAGAAGTTTGGTAAAAGGATATATAGTTGGACATTTCTGAAAACATAAGATATGGAGCTAGAATCGGCATGGCTAGCCTTTGAACAAACATTTAAGCTCGAGTTTGCATTTCTTTCTGATTGAAATAAATTTTTAGACAAATAATAAAAGAATATCAATACTCAGAAGATTTGGTAGAACAAACAAGTGAAACATCAAGAATACTGAATTACGAAGAAAATAAATACCAGTAAGAATGTTACAGAATTAAGATGATTAAATAATATTGAAAATGATGTGAATAAACAATAATAGTTTTTTAATATTCATATTAAATTATTAATTAAAAAAGACAATTAGTTATTGGGGCCAATATATCACACAAACTAATATCACATACATACATGATGCACACGATTGACTCAGGTCGTAGGCTAGGTCGTCCGCAAACTATTGCATCCCCATACTGCGTCACATATGATGGTTGCTTGTTTCAGTTGTTCTCAAGTTTTTGTAAAATGACACTGTTCTCACTTGATTCTCCACCTGCAAAAAATATATTATTAACTAATAAACCGGTCTCACATTCTTAAACCATTTTACATTAACAAGATTTGAGGTTTACAAGATGATTGAAAGGTGGGATTATAATCTATATATCTTATATTTTTGAATCATCGAAAACGAACCATATTAATAGAAATTTTAACAAATCATAACGTAGACCCGTGTTAAGTCACTTAAGAATATGACCTTAGATGAGTTGCAACTCGATTTAGGGTCAAGTAAATCAAGGGCGAATCTCTTAATTGACTTGTTATTAATAAGGTATATGGATTTTGATCCCTTTTATTAGAAGATATATTTAGGCATATAACTTTAAATAGATTTTAGTTAAATCCATGACCTTTTCATGAGTGTAGAGCCATTTTTTTCTGTAACAAATTAGAAGGTCATGGATTTTTCATGAGTGTAAAGTCACTTTTTCTGTAACAGATTAGAAGGTCATGGATTTAACTGAAATCTCATTTAAGATTATATAACTAAATGAACTCCTATAAAACAACCCAATGATACCAAGTGTCAAATTTCTTGGCCATTTCTTTGATATTTCCTCCAAAAATATTATGTATTCCACACCTCCACAAGATAATTCAAAACGTTAAGTTTAACCAATAATCAAAGAAAGATAAGTAGGCAATTAGCATAATGAAGGGTATAATGGTAATTAGCTTTTGACACCAAATAAGGCATTTGTAACCACAAGGGTGGTGCCTGATTGGTTTGAGCTTGGCTCCAAAGGTCAAAAGTGCCAGGAGGTCTCAGGTTCAAATCCAAGGAAGAACAAAAATCCCCTTGTGGTCATGGAGGTTCAAATGCGGTGACTCCGGGCTACGTGCAAAGCATGTGGTCGCCCTAAAATTAGTCGGCTTGCATAGCGGGTTAGATATCCAGGTTAATCAAAATAAAATAAAATAAGGCATTCGTCAAACTTATATCTTTTCCTAAAAAAAGAGTTTATATATGAATATTGTTTCAAGTAATGGAGTATTGGCTAGATATGGACTATCAAATCTGTATATATGTAGGGATTTTTCATAGATAGATTCAAAGGGGTTCCACATATCCTTGACATGGTATGCTATCTGAGTGGGGGTCTAACACCATCTAAGGACTCGACACACTCTCTCGTCTCCATTCTTGGAGACACCATCTAGCCTTCATTTGTGAGGTCATGTTAAAGTCTCACTTTAGCTGAAGTCGGGCCATGAAATCTGTATGTACGTAGGAATCTCTCATCTCTTTATAATGGATCTTTAAAGAGATTTAAAAGAGATAAGATATCACCTAAAATCAAGCTTACTGTATGATGGTTGTTATAGGTTTAACGAAACCATGATACACAAACGTATATGCATAAACGCAACAAGAAACACAAGCTCGAGTGAGCAGAAAATAACAGAACGACCTAATTGTATGTGACTAATTGACCACAAAAATGACATAAAGAACATTGGATAACAACCAGCCTCATGAATGAATTTCACTTTCTGGTATACCTATGTCGGGTCCCTTGGGGTACGTTTGGTACGCGGGATAGGACATACAAAAATTTGTTGTCCCATGTTTGGGGTGACATCAGACTGGGATAGGACCGGACCTGAGTAGCACAAAAATGTATTTTCTGTCCACTAAAATAGTAGAACAAAAATCAGGAAGATGTATTAAATTACCTATATCAAATTAAAACCCTAAAACCTTTTACAATTCTTTCACTAGCCGACCTCACTCTTGACCGTCCAGTCGTTGCAAGTAAATGTAATCTAGTAGCTATGGTGCAACCTCTCTATAACACAAGTTCCTTTCTATTCAAACACACACACACACATAATGAACTGTTACGAAGGGGGCCAGGTCGGTGCATTTTGGTAATTACACATGGAGGACAAAATGGACCACAAGGGGTGAAGTCTAAACTATAAGTTGCAAAGGTGCCAAGTGTTGTAATTCAGTATGTGTTGCAAGAAGAAAAGAGAGGGTAGTAGAATTACCAACAAGAGATGGTTGAACTGAAGGACTAATATTTTGCAACTGTTTTGATTGATGCATCATTTATCTTGGTCCACAGATTGAGAAGGAACTCTGCTAAGAAGCCATACCAAAGTTGCACCAACAAGAGCACCAGAAAGATGAGCTATGTGATTAACATTCTGTAGAGCATTGCTACTGTTTGCAAAACTTGTTGAAGCTTGGGCTGCTTCCATCACCTAGAATCACCATGATCATATGTATTCAAATCATTTTATAATACAAACCAAACATTCTGAGAGGGAGGGGGGGGGGGAGTAAGGAAGAATGTGGCATTGTTTATTTAGAATGAAGGTTAGAGGAAATAGTAGAGTTTCAAGAGAGATTGTCCCAGAATCTAATTCATTTCTGTTAAATAAACGAGTTAAATCTTAATTCCCTCCATCCCAGAAGAATGTAACACTTCGTATTTCAGATTATCCCCCTCAAAAGTGCAGCATTTCCTTTTCGGGGAAATATTCCTTAACAAATATGTCTATTTGTCCATTGATATTGATTTTGATCCACATGTTTTCTCAACTTTGTCTTGTTAACGGTATTTTAGATATTTGATCATTCGTTAAGGTTTTTAATGAACTATATGTCAAGCCAAACATTGTTTTTTTTTTTTTAAGTGAATGATTAAGAACAAACCTATAACCTATTGCATGTGTGGTCCATGTCAACACTAACAAAGTTAAAAGATAAAAAACAAAAAGTAACACAGACAAAACTAAATGAAGAGAAGCAAAATATAAAAATGTTATTGTTCAGTTTTCAGGTTCAAGGATCAAAAGGGTATTTTAAAGTGATACCTTTTAGATGGGAAGCCCAAATGGGTCTATTTTCAAAGTTTAGCTATTTTCTTGGCACAATTTTTTCGTCATTGGGTAAATCGAGTTTTGGGTGAATTTTGTTGAACTTGAATTACTGTATTTTTCCATGCTTTGAATTTTCGTTTTTGGTTTTCTTTTCCCATACTACTAGCAACAAGATAGAAAGACTATGGTGGTGGTGGTGGCATTTATCAACCTCCGGTTCTTTACTTTACGAATTCCAACTTGCAGATGAGTGGTTGCGACTTCCTCTAGATCCTAATGATCATGCCTATGGCTATTTTTATTGAAGTTCCAAATGGATGCAACATCTTACACTTCAATACTCCCCGGTCCCTTGAAAATTGCAGTACTTCTCTGTTTGGGATGTCCCATGAAAATTAAGAACTTTCCTTATTGGTAGGTTTTCCAGTTGCAATTATCTATTTATAGATTGTCATTATCAAAAAATTAATGATTAAGAATTGGGTAAACAAGATTATTTTATTATGTCATTTACTCAAGCATATTTTAGGCATACAAAACCACTTCCCTACAACTATCTACATGTCCATTCAAATATTACTTTGCAGCTTTCATAGGAAAGAGTATGAAGATTTATAGGAAGAATACATACCCTTTCAATAACAAATTGACCCAGTATAAGTACTTCAAGGATCTTCCTCCAGTCAAAAGAGAGCTGCAAGAAGAAGAAGCAAAAAGCATCAAATCACATGCCTGGATTTCAAGTGAAACTTGAAAGAAAATAGCATGTACCTTAACAAGGACACTGATTGCAAAGAGACCGAATACTGCACCAGAGGCTCCAACAGAAACAGCATTTCTTGGGAGTATAAGCCATGAAACAAGATTTGCTCCAGCACCCGTTAGGATATAAGAGAGCCACAGTCCAAAATTTCCTTCCTCTTCTTCAACAAGTTTTCCTGTTGCCCAACAGATCAAAAGTCCTAAAACTTAACCCATACTAGTTGGATCTTTTGCTTGTCTAGTGGAGAAAGTTGCCTTACCGAATATATATAAGAAGAAAAGGTTGCTAGAAAGATGATTCCTGAAGGACATATTAAAACATACGATAAGAAAACTTGGGTAAATTTTTAGATCAAAGCACATAATTGCTCCCTTTCAGAAAAATGTTGAGAGCATTTCTCATCATTGGGGGATTTACAGCATTCTTCTCCATACTCAATGTTGAATATAACAAGATATAAGGCCAAATCACCCATAATTAGTAGAGGTCTCACCAATTAGCATGACAAAATGTGGAAGTCACGAACTGGTACCAAACAGGCAAATTGTGATACAGATACAAAGCTTTAATCTCACGAACCTGTATGAAATATCAAAGTTATCATGCAAGTTTGAAAATAAACTACCGACAGTAATCCTGCAATCTTTTGTTCTGTTATTTCTTTCTTTCTGGAGCTAAGAGATAAGCTTTTGACAATTAACTGTTGAGTAGTCCATCATTTAAACCAATATCAGCATTCTCCATAACTTGGCAGCAATTTTATCTTTTTTCTTTGTGGCAACTTTTTTTGGTTTTTGTAGACTTCTACATTTGTATTTTTTTTTCCTGTGTAAGCTCCATTTGGTGCCAACACTTAAGTCTATATTCTACGTGCCACGCATCACAGTGTATTACAATAAGGTAAATTAATTTGAACCTGAAATATGTGATCTGCTACATATACTCCAATATTAAGTAGTAAAATCCAGAATATCCCATTCACTCGCTTCTCAGGCTTCCTCTTCTCACCCAGTTTTCCAAGCTCCAGCTGTGATGTCATATCTAAAATTATAGAATAAACTGCTTAATTTCTTGTGTGTGGTACAAACGACAGTCAATCATCATCAGCGTAGGAGAGTGATACCAAAGTAAGGATTGCCTTTGCTCAATACGACCATTACTTGTTAATTATCATACCATCATACAAGATTTACTATCAACATTTTATACCTCCTATTAAAGTAAAAGAACTTAGTCAGGAGTCAGGACAACATAATTACTGCACCTTACACCATGATTGAATGTAAGAAGGAATATAATTGTGAACTTATACCTAATACGAAAATAACTTAATTGTGAATCCATTATCTCTGAATCTTCATATAATTTTGAAGGTAGCAAGAGGCCAAGGACGATAAAAATAACTTCACTATCACATTTTGGAAGACAACCTCACTGTTAATTATGAATGTATTTCACATTTCTTTGGTACCTTAAAAGGTTTGTCTTCCTTTGGATGCTTGCCAGTTATGATCTATTGGTCTGAGTTAACATTCAATATAGGAGGATCACTACGATCTTGGATGTATTTGATGCAATTCTGGTGACATCATGTGTTTCTAGATAAAGGTGTAATTTTGCAGCATTTAAAATGTTAGGACAATCTTCTGCCGCAAATCATATTTCTTCTCTTGCAAGAATCTTGTAACGTCTTGATGCATTCCTTCTTCCCAATTCGGATATGTTAAGGGCCGTTCTCATTTTTCTGGAGAATTTGGTTATTTCCTAATACTCATTTTGGGCCGAGGCTAATAGCCACTTATGATGATAACTCTAACCATAACAGTTGTTTTTTGTTTCTAAATTGCCTATAAACATTTCACATAAGAAAACAATCAAAATTATATAAGTTAGCTAAATCTATGGGAGATGGTAGAAACATGGTGAATCATGATCAGGTCTTTGGATACAATGGAGCCCCTCGATATCGATGACAACTGTCACATTGTTATGAAATTTCCTCCTATTTTTAATACAGATTCTAATGCATGTAGTTGATGTTTAAGGCCCTAGTTTTTGGGCTTCAGTAGCCTAATCATCTTGGATCTTTTCATCCAGACATCAAAAGTGATTGCCTTTCGATCATAATTTACTTTGAAGTTTCTTGGAACACTTGTTCATCCATATTTGTACAAGGAAAGCAAAATCTCTCGGTAGTATGATTCTCTTTTCTGTCTTTTAGCTGGTCACCTTGCAGTTGCTAGTAATGTTCATAAAGGGGTTGCATATTCTCTACCCTCTTTTTATCTTAATCTAACTTTAATTTTCATTTATTTATTTTTCAATTCAATGGATGTATCTTCACTTCAGCCAATGTCAAGACTTATTTTGTAATTTTGAAGGGTTTTTCCTAATTCCTGTATATAATATAGTTCTGTTCTTGGTACTTGTTACTAGAATTAGCCACACTGTTTATGCATCAAAAGAGCATCTACATTCCCTCCCGTTCCTCATAAGACCCGACTAAGGTTTAATGTAACAAAAGGCAGGGTAAACTTTTGAGTTATCAGTTATCAAGTTTCACAAGTTATAACATTATTTCTTTCACAAAAGAGCTATCTATATCTTGACTATGGGGGTCAAAATTTGAGTCTTGACTTCAAAATTGTAATTTGGAACTTACTGAGAACATAATTCTACCCACATTTTACCAGTGTAGACTTACAAAATGAGAGCAAAATCCCAATAAACAAAAACCATTCAATTGAGGCAGACAAGGTGTTTGTAAAAATTCCTCAATGAGCTGAAAGTCAATCAACCAGAATACTTCGACCTAATTCTCGGGTGTTCTTCGTTTCACTATATAAACAAACAATTAACCACCTGGATTCAAGTTCTAACCATCAATCAGGCTTCGGAGCAAGCAATCATTGAAACTTCATATATCATGATTCATTAAGTTAAACGCAAATGTAAAAATAAGCAGGTTTTTTCTAAACAACAAAGACTTGCCCGAGTCTTTCATCTTGCAAAGAAGACGAGATCGAGGAATCCCATGAATGAGAAGGGGTCGGTTGAATCTGCCGAAACTTCGAGAAACAGATTGAGGATCAATATTGAATTTGAGGGGTCGGTAATCAAGTGTCATAGGCATAACTTTACATGACGATGAAAAAGTTGAGGGATTGCTGAAAAGCTGGCCGTGAATAACCCTCAACCCCGCCATTGTTGTCAAGCTTAGTCTAGCAACCAACGGAAGAGAAACCCCCGCCAATTGTACTGTTTTCACTTTCCAAAAGGTTCTTGTGTTTCGTGTGTCGCTCGTTTTATAGTCAACGCAGGCCTCGCGAACAGGGGTGGGCAAAAATTCACCCCATACTCGGGTGTAAATAATACCTGGCTCGAGTATAATATCCTGATTCTATTAAGCTCGAACTCGACTTAAAAATCTTTAAATTCAAACTCGATTTAATATGTGTTTACTTTTGACTTAATCAGCTTAACAGCTGTTTTGGTTTACTTGTAAAGCCATATATGGATGTTTACTTGCGGCTTAATGATAAATATATGGATTTATTCGTACAGTATGGAAGGGATGTGTTGTTCCCGTTAAGACAAAATATTAACAATTATACCCCCAAATCCCACGCCTCCCCCTTCATTTCACTTCAAACCCTAGCGAAATCACTTCTAGAACGGTGTTGTGCCTCTTCTCCGACAACCTTTCTCTACTTCTCCCCATTGCTACACCTCTTCTCCGACCGACGACCTTCTTCCTTCAGTTTTCATCAACACAGGTACCAATTTTTCCGGTCGATTCCTCCTTCTAGCGCTTCCCTTCAAAGTCCAAACCGTAGCCACAGAGAAAAAGTTCTCCTTCCCCGTCGTTGCTGCTGCACCTCCTCTATCCCTGCTTGGTTGCTTCTCATTCGTCGTTGCTGCTCAACTCCTCCTTCGTCGTTGTTGCGCTACGACCGTCAACTTTGCTCTGTTCCTCCCCCATTGCACCGTCGATGACAGAACAAGCTTTGAGCGAAGAGCCGTAAGCAAATATAACAAGTATCAGAAATCGATTCTAAGCTACTGTTGTGTTTGTGTGGATTATTTTAGGTATTTTTAGGTTTTGGTTTGAAGAACAATAATTTTCCTGGTTTGATGAATAAACAGTCTTTTGTTTTGATTTTGATTCGATTCTTGTAGCAATAGCTTTTTTTTTATGTTTAAATGGTTTGATTATTATGTTTTGATAATTTGATGTTCAATTGTTTGATTATTATGTTTTAATGTTCAAATAGTTTGATAGATTGGTAGATTTTTTGTTTGATGAATAATAGATTTTTGATTTGAGTTTGATTGAACTGTTGTAAAGTTCAAACATGTTTGAGGGGTAGATCGGTCATTATTGTTATTTAGACGATTGATTCAGATAAAAAATTAAACAACAATAAATTTTTAACTAGATAGACAAATTTCATGTGTAGATAATTAACGCATGAAATTAGAAGTGATACAGACCATAGAGAATTAGAGATAGATAGGTGTATGTATCGATAAGTGATACAGACAAGTAATTATAGTTTTTCATTTCGTCCCACGTTTGTTTAATTTCTATTATAACATGAGAAGATAAGCGGGGTTTTAAAAACGTTTAGGGGTTGTTTACCAAACGCTTACTCGGGTAAGTGAACACTGAGTCATATTATCTTACCGGATGAATATGGTAAGGACCAAAAATCTTACCAAGTAAGAGCGAGACAGTGACTAAGGGGCCGTTTACCAAACGTTTGCCGGGGTAAGCGCCTACCAAGTCACATTATCTTACCTGATGAATATGGTAAGGACCAAGAACTTACTCGGTAAGAGCGAGACAATGACCAAAAGTTTTACCTGGTAAGTGAGAGCGACAACTTTTACCACAATAAGCACTTACCAGGTAAATTATTGCATACAATGTCGTTTCGGTGGGTTAAAATCTTACTCAGTAAGTAAGTGATAGTGTTAATTTTACCGGTAAACACTTATTGGGTAAGTGTTTGGTAAACGGCCCCTTGGAGTCTCAGGAGGAGCATATGCTCCCTTTCATCTCAAGTGGCTTTGCCACTATGTTATGTTTTTGACTGTCGTGTCATCATATCTATTTGTAAGACGTTCAACATAACGAACATTAACAAGTATTACCTATCAACTAAGATGCATTTGCGGTGAACTTGCAGTCGAGTACTTCTCAAGTGAGGGGAAATGATGTATAAAGTAGACCAATAATAACCACAAGGGTGGTGCCTGATTGATTTGAACTTGGCTCCAAAGGTCAAAAGTACTAGGAGGTCCCATGTTCAAATCCAATGAGGAATAAATATTCTCTTGTGACCACGGAGGTTCAAATGCAGTGACTCCAGGCTATCTGCAAAACAGGTGGTCGCCCTGGGATTAGTCGGCTCGCATAGCGGGTCGGATATCCAGGTTAATAAAAAAAATAGCCTAATAACTGGCATAAACGTTCATGGAATAGCGGGAGCATGACAAATGCATGAAAAAAAAAAATGCATAAACTAACAATCTTTCAATATTAAACTGTTACAAAATGCAAAATCTAACCTAGAATTCGCTTGAGAGGACCAGAGAAATCTATATATATATATATATATATATATTAAAGAAGAAACCACATGCAATGATGTGGCCTCTTCTCAAAACAAGAAAATGATTTATCTTTTTTCTCCTTTTCTCAAGCTTCTTCTACTTTAATATTTGTTTTTTATGTTTCATGTTCACATTTAAGATCATTTAATTATGTTGTTTCAACTTATTCATGTTCCCTCTAATAAGTACTCTTTTAACTTTCATTATTTCTCTCTATTCGGTTATAATTTTTCATCTTCTCTTCATGGTACACCTCTATAATAATCTCTCAATTCTTCATCTCTATTCATGTATAATTTTGTGGTACATCTCTATGATAACMTCTCTATTAATCTCTCAATTCTTCATCTCTATTCATGTATAATTTTGTGGTACATCTCTATGATAACTTCTCTATTAATCTCTCAATTTTTCCTCTCTATTCATGTATAATTTTGTGGTACACCTCTATGATAATCTCTCTATGATCTCTCAATTCTTCCTCTCTATTCAGTTATAAATTTGTGGATGTGATTTGCATTTTTGTTGATTTGAGGTGTTATTCAATAAGACAAATCATAGTATGAGTTTTTGCTTATGTAAGTATAATATTTCTTTTCTTTAGTCGAAGATATTCACATTAAAGTTGGAATTATGTAGGCATATCGAGTTTTTGTGTGTGGATACAGTGACATATGAATCCTTGAAGAAATAGTGTAACATTGAATAGAAAAAAAACCTCTCAATTCTTACTCTCTATTCAGTTTTTGAGGTGATTTGTATTTTTGTTTATTTGAGGCGTCATTCAATAAGAGAAATATGATATGAGTTTTTGTTAATGTAAGTATAATATTTTCGTCTTTTAATTGGAGATATTCACACTAAAATTAGATCGGAGATATTCACATTAAAGTTAGAATTATGTAAGCATATGGAGTTTTTGTGTGTGTGGATAAAGTGACATATGAATCCTTGAAGAAATAGTGTAACATTGTTTAAGAAAAAAAAAACTGTCAATTCTTCCTCTCTATTCAGTTTTTTAGGTGATTTGCACTTTTGTTTATTTGAGGTGTCATTCAATAAGAGAAATATGATATGAGTTTTGTTAATGTAAGTATAGTATTTTCGTCTTTTAATTGGAGATATTCACACTAAAATTAAAATTATACAAACATATGAATCTCTCTATTAATCTCTCAATTCAGTTATAATTTTGTGGGGATGATTTGCATTTTTATTGATTTGAGGTGTCATTCAATAAGACTAATCATAGTATGAGTTTTTGTTTTTGTAAGTATAGTATTTCGTCTTTTAGTCGGAGAATTCACACTAAAGTTGGAATTATGTAGGCATATGATTTTTTTGTGTGTGGATAAAGTGACATATGAATCTTTGATGAAATAAAGTAACATTGTTTAGCATAATAATCTCTTTTAATCTCTCAATTCTTCTTCTTTATTCAGTTTTTGTGGATGTGTTTTGTTTTTTTGTTGATTTGAGACGTCATTCATGAAAACAAATATGATATGAGTTTTTGTTTTTGTTGTTGATCGTTCTATTGTGATTTTTTTTTTCCTTTTTTAGCATTGAGTTTGGAAATTATTTTCTAATATTTTAAATTCTTAAAAAAGAAACCAAACATAATGAGGTGTTATCCTCTAAACATTATAAACCCATTTTTTCATAGATTTTTGATTTTTTAAAATATTTGATATATGTAAAAGACTTTTCCATCCCTATATTTAAAATATGAAATTCAATATAATACATATATTTTATTTTACATAATTGTATTAAAGCCTCTATTTTCAGGATTTTTTTATAAATAAACCAAACTATAAACTGTTTAAAACAAATTTAAAAAGTTTGAACAAGTCAAATGAAAAAATAACAAATCAATCAGCCTCTTATATATCTAGAATAGTCATAATACTAGCTATTATTTTCATTTTATGCAATCGCATGTAGGAAAAAAGTGGTTTCAATGAGGTTCTTGACCAATGTTGCAAACGAGTATATCATGAACTAATATAAGCAAATTGCAAAAATATTCAACAATTATATCAATATAAATAATAACACAATTATTGCTTGGTAAATATAAATATCTTATGAGAATATATGTAGAAGATAAATTGATATGTATTATGGTAAAATAATTCTCTTAATACACCTCATGATTATAATCAATATTTTCACATTTTTTATGATTTTGAATCAGTCACAAAGTTTGATATAATAAAATATTGATATATAAGACTTAATAATTTTATCTATCTATCTATCTATATATAATATTAAAAGAACAATCAATAATGATAAGTTAGATTCATATATCAAAGGTAATGTTGATTATTATTAGCTTAATAYATAAATGTGATCATCGACTCATTTAGCTAATTTCAATAAATTTTTAAAAATTTTATTGTCATCGCGCAACGCACGATGTCAAACACTAGTTTTCTTAAAGAAAAAACGAATTCTACTCTTCTAATAATCCAACTATGAAATTATATAGCATGACTACACGGCCCTTGAACTTTCCAAGAATTACTCTGATGCCCTTGAACGTTGGAAAACGTGAGCCAAAGTCCCTCTCAAATTCCCGTCCAGCAACTTTTCATTAATGTCCAAAACGAGTGCCTCTCGTCACGAAGTATAGAATCTTTTAAAATGCAACCTGGAAGCAATACCAAACAAATAAACGAGAGCCAACTCATTCACTCAAGATTGTACAAATACGTTGTACATTTCCACAGCGACTATCCCACATAAAGACCTTAGGTGATGCTACGGGGTTGTTTATTTACCTTTTAATAGTTCCATTAAGAGACAACCTCTAGATCGTCAAAAGATGAATTTTGTTTGATTAAAAAAATGTCTGCCTCTTAATGGTTTTAAAATTCTCTGAATGATTTTGCATCCTGGACCTCTTTAACCATTCAACGCGTTAATTTCATTATAAACAATAACCAAATAACTATCTCATTTTGTACTATATCATGAGAAACTCTTAATCATTCTGATCATTTGATCATTTTGCACCAAAACATTCAACAACTATCAAACAGCCCTGTAGTGAAAAATCTCATCAATCCCAAATCTGAAATCCACGCGTTATCAAAACGCTTGTAGCCATAGATAGGTGTGCTCACGACCCGGGTTGATTGGTTTGGAGCCGTTTTAACAACCCAACCCAATGTTTGCGGTTTGAAAATTTTCAACCAAACCCAACCCGTTCAGGTTGATCTGGTTGTGTTTAAACAATGTAAAATCACATAAAAATAAATGAAACTTTCCTTTGAAATACGACCGACCACTCAAGATAATATGCAAGTTCATCAAATATTTAGATATTACAATAAAAATGTTTAAACCAAATGATAATACATCAATCAACAACAATAGTTTTAGACGTTTCCAACCCGATGCTTTCGCTTTCTTGACGTTGAGGTTGGTCATGTCATGATTGTCATCTACAATTCAAAGCTAAAGTTAAGGTCGGGTTGTCGGGTTCGTCGGATTTTTTTGGGACTGACCCGATTCCAACCCAATAAGGTCGGGTTGGTCGGGTTTTTTTGGGCCTGACCCGATTCCAACCCAATAAGGTCGGGTTGGCTAAATTTTTTATCGATCATGGATCGGGTTACCTCAGGTTGGGGTTTTTTTTTCCACGTAAACTGGTCTGAAAATCCATATTTAAAAAAAAATCCAAATTAATGTTATGCAAATAAGTTTGTATCAATTCCAAAAGCTTGAAATCGACCTTACACGTGTCCAAATACACATCATAGTCAAACTATCCGACGGTTGTCAACAATTTGTGTGAATCTCCAAGGTTTAATATTAATATAATTACACATTAATTATAAAAACAATTTTATTTTGTATTTTCTAAAAAAAGTCAAACTTTATTGTCGATATATAATCTGAAGGATAATCTTTTCTATTGAAATATACAAAAGAATTATATCAAATAATGACCATGTTTTTATATTAAATAAAATGATACATTAAAAAAAAAATTGATCCAACGGGTCGATCCAAACCGACTAACTCGTCTGACCCATGACCCGTTGACCCTAAAAATTTAGCTCGTTCGATGACTCAATTTACGTCTTTAACTATTTTAACCAGTTATTTAATCTCAGTCATTAGTCGTTTCATCTAAACATGCACAAAAGTCAAACCATCCAACGGCCAATATTAATTCGGATAAAAAATTTATATCTTAAATTCTGACATTTAAATTCTTATCCATCAATCATATGAATACACACTTATATGTAAATAGAGATAAAGTATGAACTTAAATTAAATAAATTTAAATATACTAGAAGAGTATTCGTGCAATGCAACGAGACACATCTCGATTTTAATGTTTTATTTTATTCTTTGTTTTTGTCGATATTATAATACGATTTTATGTGTTTTTAAGAAAGCAATAATGATTTTATTTTTGAATAAAATATAAATTTGAAATAAAAAAATATATCAATGTTAATATCAAATCAACTATTTAAAAGTTCTACTTTTATGTAATTTCTTTAATTTTTTTTTATTATAATTTAATTTAAGTTTAATAATGAAATAATTTATTTTTGGTTTAATAATATAACATTTTATAAAGATAATAGTTAAGTATTCTGTTAGAACTCAATGATTATCCTAATTATATTTTAGATTTTTTATATTTAAAAAAATATGTTTATCATGTATTTGATTATACCTGCAGTTGGTAACACGAATTCAGATATGGAGCTTTAATAAGTTGTACTTACGCACAATTACTTGTAATCTTGAGTTTTAAGTAACATGCATTAATMAACAGTACTTTATGCATAAAAAGTGGTTTTTAAGAGTTTTTGTCAAATGATTTATAATATAGTATATATATATATAAGAAAAATAAATTAAATAAATTTAAATAATATAAAAATCTGACGTGTCTTAATTTCATTGACATGGTAAAAATAATATATAAGATTTTAAAATGACATATTTTTATTCATATCAATTCTGATTAAACCAAAGGATCTTTGGTCTAACGATATTGTAGTCTTTGGCCTCCTAGTAGATAAAGAGTTTAAATCTCACCGAAGGTGAGAAGAGTGCGTGAGTTTATTTGTTACATTTGTCGTATATAAATATTATTATACTTTTAAAAAATATTAAATTTTAATCATTAACTAAAAACAAATCAAAATTTTGTATTTACCAAAAAAGGTCAAACCCATCAAATTAGGTTAAGAAAAATGTAGTTGTCTTAATTAAAATAATACAATAAATGCAAACCCCTAGACCTCCTTAATTGCTAGTTTATTCCAAGTTCTCTTAATTAATGAAACTATGGATCTCATATTTCTCTCTCTAGAGTGATCGGAGATGAGAGAGAAGATGTCGGAAACCCGATCTCCGATGCCGTTGATGTATCGGAGGCATTCAAGTGGGGAGATGATGAACAACTTGGCGTCGGTTTCGAGCAGTCTGTTGCCGGCTTTTGGAACCATTGTTGGCGGGGATTCAACTCCTCTCAGAAAATATGTCATTGCACCCTATGATCGTCGGTACCGGTAAGTTATCTCCCGCCATAAACTTATTACGTTTTATATGATTGTAGGTTGTACATTATGCATAAAAATGTGTGAGTACTGCACGTTATATCACCAGTTAAACTATCGAAATCATTTCAGCGAATCTTGAAAACGTTTATTGAACTATCAAACTCATTTCAACGAGAGTAGAAATCTTGAAATCTTTCTTGAAATTTCTTTGTTTTTTAAGTCAAAATTCAGAGATCTTGAATTCAAGGATTAATTACATTTACATATTGTTTACTGGATCATTAAAAATACGTTTACGTGTTAAAAATGCATTCGTGAACAAGTAACGAAAATCTCGTAATTTTTTCCGAATATTATTTTTTATAAAAAGTTATTTCTTCCTTTTTTTTTTTTTAAAATAACCTAAATGGGCTTTGCTTATATTTGAGTGAAAGTGATTCTAAGTTTTCGAATTTTGTATTCAAATGGTTAATTATTTATAGATTTGAGTTTTCTGGATATAAAAACAACTGATCAGATGATTATATGAAATAATGTTACTGGTCGTGAGCTCGATTGTTACTTTATAACGAAATTTGAAAAACTAACGAATATAATCACCCTTCCTTCAAGTTTATAAGCAACGACGGTGTTCAAAAATTTTAATATAAATTTATAAATTAAAATCTTGTTAATATCGGGAGAAATAGATATATTTATTTATTATATTTTTTATTCTCTCTTTCTCTTTCTATATATAGATTTGGGGTTACGTGAGACAAAACTGTTTTCATGAGACAAGCGTGATACGATTTTTACACTTGAAACTTCACAACAAAATGTTGTGAAGGTAAAAAAAAAAAGTCGAATCTTCATAGCAAAAACACTGTGAATGTCACATTTACGGTGTTTTGCTGTGAAGTTTCAAGTGTAAAAACTGTTTCACGTATCTCACGAAAACAACTTTGTCTCATATGATCCCAAGTGTAAGTGTGTGTGTGTGTGTGTGTGTGTGTGTRTRTATATATATATATATATATATATATATGAAAGGGTTTAAACGAGAACCCCTGTAATTCGCGAAAACGCAAGAACAACCTATTAACCTCRTATTGTGATAACAATAAAAATTAAAAGATTTTTTAAATTAAAAATGAAATTAAAACAATTCAAAAAAATTGAGAGGCAAAAAGGTAATATTGGAATTCAAAGTGATAAAATTTAAAAAACACAATCACACTAAACCAATTAATCGGGATAACATAATGGACTATTATGGTTATCGCTTATTTCAACACGATTTGGTGTGATATGAGTGTGATTATCACACAATTATCATAAGGATTCCGCTCGGCTAGGGTAACTTAGAAAATCGACTACTGATTTGGTGTGATATAGGTGTGATAATCATATAATATCACTATCATAACATCGCACTCGATTTGATCATGGTTTCGATCGCTTAGGGTTAGACAATCATATATTTATCACAACGATTACTCATGGTTTCGATAAGTATGGTTACACTCGATTGATCATGGTTTCGATAGGTTATGGTTACACAATCACACAATTATCACAAGAGAAAAGAAGAGAGTGGAAACGAACATGATCAATCCAGGAAAAAAAGGATGGTTATAATTAATTAAAATAAAATAAACATTATAAAAATTACTTAATTACATTATTGCCCTTATTAATTTATTTATATTTAATATAAGTTAATTTATTAACTAAAAAAGTTTGAGGTTATTGGTTATTCTCGTATTCTTATAAATCACAGGGATTATCGTTTGAACCTCCATATATATATATATATATATATATATATATATATATTATGTTTAAGAATCTTTTGATGATACGTGCAATGCTTAAACTTGAAGAGAACAAGAATTTCTTGTCTATGCATAAAATTATATATACATATGATTTTTATAATGGTTTTAAATAAGTCGTTATGCACTTGTTATAATGGCAATGTTTGGCTTCATCGCCACATTAACTTATAAATAAGTAACTTTGGGAACACATATTATGTTTATGTGCGGTGGTTATTGATTTTTCCCGTCTAAACATGTATCTAAACATAATTTTCACTTACAGTTCAAATAGGTCTATTTAAGTGACATATGTCCCTCTACACGTTTATTTTCCTGTTTTTGTGGTTTAACTGAATTTAACTCTGAAGTGGCCTCCAGACTTACAACATAACTCTGGGAAAATTTCAGAGTTGTAAGTCTGAATTTAACTCTGAAGTGACCTCCAGACTTACAACATAACTCTGGAAAAATTCAGAGTTGTATGTCTGAATTTAACTCTGAATGTAAATTTGAATTTAACTTTGGAGTGGCCTACAGACTTACAACATAACTCTGGGAAAATTCAGAGTTGTAAGTCTGAATTCAAGTCTGAATTTAATTCTAGGGTGGCCTCAAGACTTACAACATAACTCTGGAAAAATTCAAAGTTGTAAGTCTGAATTTAACTCTGGAGTGGTCATCAAAACCGGGTTTAAAATTTCAAATTCGGATTTTTGAAGCATTTTTCACAAAACAATATAACCCGGAAAAAAAAATCCCAAGCTGACTTGGCAGGTCGACCCCAGCCAGGGGCTGAGCCATTTATTCTGTGGGATTATTTAAAACACTCTTACCGGTAAAACGCTTATCAGGCTCAAGACTCTTACCAATAATTCATTCATATGGTTGGGAATATTACATGATAAGATAAATGAGAGTAATTTCTCTTACCGATAATCACTTAATAAACGGCTCCTAACACATAACAACATTCCATTTTTGTCATCTTTTTTTAAATTACGTTATTTGATTTTTAACTGATTAATGTAACTTGTATATACTTGAAATAAAAATTTTAAATAGATACTGACATATCCTACAACATGAACTGATAACACTAAACATACTTAAATGCAAAATTTTATGTTCTACAAAATGATAATTTGTAACACCCCAAGATCACATTGGCATATAAACATATATTTCCATATATCAAGAAATATAATTTATACATCTGGTCTCAATATTTACAAAAGCTACATTACAAAGTAGCTACCAAATTTTTTCATAAAATTTCAATATAAAACTTGTATACATAACAGGTATTCAAATATAAAAGATAGCACATTATCCCAACATCCATGCAAGCATATATAAATTCTTCACAATTTTCCCTTCCTCTTATCGAATATTCAGTTGTACCCGACCTGTAATKCATATTTTGAAATACAAATCAGTGTTAGACCTTGAGGTCTAGTAAATCATCCATTTGTTTATTATTGCAGGGTGAATAATCTCCAAAACACTTTTATAAACATATATTTGTATCAATAACAAATAAACAACATTTTAATAAAACAAACATCTTTTATCGCATAAAAAAGGATGAGTTATTACTCAGTTATCGCATCAAATAACCAAACAACTCATTTAGCGCATTATGATAAAACTCATCGCATCATATAGGTAAAATCACAAATTCCTTGCATGACATGGATGAGACAACCCCATTTTCTCGCATCATACTGATGCGAGAATCTCATCTCATCGCATCACACTGGTGCGACATCAATATGATATGATAAGTCAATCATGTCGCATCACAAGGATACGACAAGCATACTCCTCGCATCACAAGGATGCGATAAAAGTCACACATCAATAGAATGCGATGACTCAAGTGATATATCACATTACACAGATGCGATAACTCAATGTCATCGCATCATAAGGATGCAACAACAGTTAACAAGTTGATCAAAACCCAGTTTTTATATTCAGTTGATTATGTCACCTTTATCCTAATATACACATCTCCTGATTATGTCACATTTATCTCAAAATATACCTATCTTGATTATGCCACCCTTATATCAAAATACCAATTATGCTAAACATAGCATAAAAACAGTTTTTCGTAAATTTCCCCACGTAAAGAACCAAACGGTTCTAATCCAACAAAATAAGATGAAATTTGTAAAACAAATTCACCTTATAGAATCACACAGAGACGCAGACTTTAAAATAACAACAATTCAAGGAATTTAATCACAGAAATCAATTTCTTTCTTTCCTTCTTCGACTGCTTTAGTTTTCTCGACTCAATAAATACAGAGGAAGTCTTCTCTTCTCCTTTTACCCACTTACCATCCCAATGAGATAAAACAACTTAATTCATAATACCAAACATAAACTAATAAGAGGCGGTGGAGGTTTTAAATTATTTTAATCATATTAACGAATTAACCCCCTTAACTTATCATCATTATTCAAAAACAACCCCGAACTTTATAAATGATAAACCAATTATCACATAATTGGCTGAATAACTGACTTATAAAACTAACTTTATTTCTGAAAATTCAATTTGGACATGTATTACTTGGATAATATTTGCTTAAACCTCATTTCACTTGATGAGATGGATATCTTTCTTTGGTAGTATGTATGGGTGTTTGTTTAGTACTTAATCAATAAGTTAGTGACCGATAAATAAGTCATTATTACTATGTCTTCTCCATTAAGACCATTTTTCAAACTTAGCGTATCTATTATTTCTAGATAAATAAACTATTGAAACTTTTTCATTTATAATAATAAGTTTTTGGTTTTCTTTTTAAATAAGTAAACCATTAAATTTTTAGAAATTGGTTATATGTACATTCTTTTAATCTAAAGAAGTTATTCGTAAGTGGTTGTGAATATTTAAAAGTAAAAACAAAAGCCTCAATCACTTCCAAAACCCTACACCACTTAGACCCTCACACCCAAGTGCCTTGCCAACCCCTCAGTCGACTCCTCATTGTCTGCTCTCCATCATCTTTGTTGCCTCCTACAATCGACCTCCCTCTTTTTGAACTGTTTTTTTTTTGTCTTTCGATTCTCCCTTTCTTTCAGCAATCTAATGTAGTATGTATAGATAGATCAATAAAGAGAACGAGTCGAGAAAAACCGGATCAAAAAGAGGGAGGTAGATTGTGTAGGTCAACAGTGACGATGGTCAGTGATGAGGCGTGGCAAGGTTGATTGGGTGCATGGTTTGAATGACGTAGGGTTTGAAAACAGTAACACTGATTTAAATTCTATATTTAACTTTAAAACCTTCATTGCCGGTTACAAGTAGTTTTCTTGGGTTAAAAAAAACAGTGACTTTCTAAAAGTTCGATAACTTATTTATTCAAAAAAAAATCAGATTTAATCACACAGAACGAATTATATTCAAAAAAAATATTTTAGAAAATTATTCATGAATTTTTTTTCCTAGGGTTTTATGACTTTTCCCTACTTTTTATACTATAAATTTTTAACAAGTAATTCCATTGTTTTATTGATATAACCATTTTAAGAGTATCTCGAAATCAAGTCCCATTAATTGATCACAACGATACATTGGAAATAGCAATTTGCTATCATCTCTTCAAAAGCATCTCCAATAAATTTATTATAATTTTTTCAGATAAAATTTATAATTCAAAATTTTACATTGAATCCAAAGAGAACTCCCAATTTAAAAATTCTATCGTGGATTACAGTAACATTGATTTATAACTTTTTAAAATATTTTACATATTTAATTTATAATTAACGAATCTTGTTATACTATATACGATGAAAACATATGTTTGGTAAATACTAAATAATATATCCTTAATTTCGTTGGGTAACCTCTAAAGATGGTACAAATCTATTATTTCCCGCTTAATTTTTCGAAACGCTTTAGTAGAGTTCAAGTTCATAAGATTTTAGACAAAATGGGGGTTGATTTGCATTCGATCTGTGTTCTCGATGTGATTCTAAATCTGAGTCGATTGAACAATGTTTCATGCGTTGTCCTTCAAGTTCTCAAATTAAAGAAGGTGCTCGAGGAATAATAAGGTTTTTGCAGCTTTTGGTGTCCCTAATCAGGATCTGGGGTTTGATGTATAACTACTCTCGTTTTTCTAGGTCTTTAATAGGTTAAAAAACTATGAGTACTGATGGTTTGATCGTGTTGTAGCCTTTTAAGGCTTGATGTCCTTTTTCTAGATTTTGTGCTTTTGAGATCAGTTGTCTAAGGTTGTGGTTATGTCGGTATCTAACTTGTCATGTCAAGGGAGGGTTGAGTTTTCTTTCTCCTTAAGGCCATGTTTCTATTGTTTCCATCATTGGTCGTGGTGGCGTTAAATAGACATCTTCTTGTCTAGTCCGTTTCATTGGTGGGGTCGGTATTTTCGATATCAATTTTGTTAGTGTTTTGTCTTTCACTGTGGTTTTTGTTTGGTTGTCCATTTTTGTTTGGGTTCTTTTCTATAAACTTGAACTTCTCTTGTTCTTTTTTGGTTCTTTTTAGTTGATAAATGTTGTCTTCCGAAACAAATACAAGACACTTAAAAGTAAACGACTAATTAACTAGCCTAGCTAATCAAAGTGATGGCAAACACTTACCGAGAGGATTTAATCCAACTGGTAACTAACCGAGTCTCTTAAATCAATGACCAGTACAGTAACATGTATCGATGTATAATTTTGAATAGTTTGATCTAGTCACATGAAAATACAATGATCTAGGTTGATATGAATCTTTAAAACCAAACCAGTAAATCTCACACGGAGTAAGGTCTATATGTGTGTTAAAGTTTTATATTAGTTTGTTGGAACTTTTTCTCTCTCCTCAAGAGCTCATTTAGAGTGTAATCTAACGGGATTTCAGATATTATCAGAGTACACAAATTTTATCATCACCTTTATTCCAAGGAGTAGAGAGGTTATTTCACGTTCTTAGATTCCTCAATGTAGGTGGTGGCAAGCATTTCTAGTGGTATTGGTTATATACTCGGCATGGTCATCCCCGTTTGAGCTAGCTTTCAAGAAGGTGGCTACCGGCTCTCTCCTCTATGTCGATTTGGCGGTCGACTTCTTTTTTGCCACTGATATCATCTTAACGTTCTTCGTAGCCTATTTGGACAAATCGACATATCTGCTCATTGATGATCATAAAAAGATAGCCACAAGGTACTATCTTAAATAAAACCATTTTGTGAAATGCATTCAAAACATGCATTAATGATTCTAATTTTTGTGTGTGTGTTTTTCAGGTATGTCACTCATATGATGTTTCCGATGGATGTGGCATCAACGCTGCCATTTCAATCAATATACCGACTCTTAACTGGAAGGCTGCACCGTGGGGAGGTCTTTGGCTTCCTTAATCTGCTCAGGCTATGGCGGCTAAGGCGTGTTAGCGAGCTCTTTTCAAGGTGCAAACCACAAAAATGATTTGACATTTATTTCAAATACGCGTTTGGTATGTGGGAGACAAAACAAAAACTGGTACGACATGCGACTAAGTGGGACAATGCACACCAAAATAGGTGAAAATAAATTTAAAGATATGAGAAGGTTGGGAAAATTACTAAATTACCCATGTCAAATTAAAACCCTGAAACCTTCTTACACCATCTACGGCCTACCTCATTCTTGCCATCCAGTCCTATCCGCATACCATACGCACCTTTATATAACAACATATAGAATAAGTTGTTGCAATATCATGGGTTCCTCCTGCAACACTAAAAAAAAGTACTTCTCCTAACAGAAATGCCGTATGTTTGGGTTAGAAATTTACATAACAATCACTTGTTTTCTGAGCAGGCTAGAGAAGGATACGCGCTTCAGCTACTTCGTGACAAGAACCATCAAACTAATATGTGTTAGTACTACTTTTACTTATTCAACCATACTTGTTAGTTGCTAAAAAACACAGGTTAGGAACTGTAAAAAAAATTATGATGTTTTCGGTAGAAAGAGTTTTAAAAAGGTATATCAGATGTACAACATGATCCGGGTGGATGTACTGGTGGCAAGCATTAGGGTTCTTATGTGACAGATATCCCAACGGGTAGAGGCAAAGCCTACGTACATCCGAAGTTCCTAACCCCCCCTCTCGCGGGCATGAGTCCTACCTCTGTGTGGGATATACTGAGGAACTGTATTAAGGCATGTTGCTAGACTAACCTTTATGGCTTGGATTATCACAGGTCACACTTTTTGCAGTGCACTCAGCTGGCTGTTTCTACTATTGGATAGCCACTCATCATAAACACTCGAGTGATACATGGATCGGATCTATTATTGACAACTTTGAGGATAGAAGCATTTGGTTGGGATACACCTATTCAATGTATTGGTCAATTGTCACCCTTACAACAGTCGGATATGGAGACTTGCATGCAGTAAATCCAGGGGAGAAGATATTCAATATCTTCTATATGTTGTTCAACATCGGCCTCACCTCTTATCTTATTGGAAACATGACCAATCTTATTGTCCATAGCGCTGTCCGAACTTTTGTCATGGTAAGTTTCTCTTAGGTTTTCTCTTCTTATGTTTGGTAACCGTGGTTGTCTAGACCAGCTTGCACGCACCTCAACTAATCAACATGGGCCCTGAAGATAACGGCCAGGAAAATCCTCGGTGGTCCTGAGAAGACTTGAAGCGGTGACCTTGGGGAGGAACCCCAAGGCCTAGCCTTTATTTTCCAGTTGAGCTGGTCCTCAAGGTTTTCCTAAATGATGATTAGGTTAAGCCATCTAATCTATGTTTATGCTACTATCTGCTACTGCAGAGGGATTCAATCAACGAGATCTTAAGATATGCAAGCAAGAACAGACTTCCAGAAGGGTTAAAAGAGCAAATGTTGGCACATATGCAACTCAGGTTCAAGACAGCTGAGCTACAGCAAGAAGAAGTTCTAGGGGACCTACCAAAGGCGATTAGATCTAGCATTTCCCAACATCTATTCCGCAAAACTGTTGACAAGACTTATCTCTTTAAAGGCATTTCAGAAGATCTTAGTAGGCAATTGGTATGATTCCTTTCTTGTATAGTACAACTCTCAGTGACTGGGTCGTTGTGACGTATAACATTAGTAGCATCCTGACCATGACATTTTACCATCTAAAAGTTGAGACTTTTGGATACAAAAGAAAGATAAGGTGTCGTTTACCAACACAAATTGGGTAAGCGCTTACCAAGTAAGAGTATGGTTGGGTAAGAGGTTTGGTCTGGGTAAGTGTAGACTGAAAGTGGTAGTTTACCAAGTGTGTGGGTAAGCCTGACTGAACCATTGACCAAGTCAGACAGCAACCCATTCCTGACAGGGTGACCATCCCTGTCAACATATTTGTGGGTCAGGGTGTGATGGTTAACAATATTCCTTCTTACCGGGTAAGCATTTCTTAACAAGAGGCAGTCAACAGGTAGTAAACCACCTGTGATATTCTTGCATGAAGCTTAAACAGAGGGAAGAAGACAAGCCAATACACTAGAAAGTTTGTTTGTTTTCATATTTAAAAGACTCCCAGAACCACTCATGGGTTGGGTGAATTTAAACATATTTCAAGCACCCCTAGTAATTCATTGGCAGTACCCAAGTGTGGTTCGAACTCATAGTCTCTAGTTTATCTTAAAAAGAATTTTAACCACTTTGGCAAGCTCAGTTGAGCCTATAATAAACTAGTGGCAAGTTGATAAGACATATTCGCCAACGTTAAGGTAGGACTTACAGAATAGGTTAACAGTGATCTATTCTCTATAACATCTGTTGTGGGTTCTGTTGGCAGGTTACAGATTTGAAAGTAGAATACTTTCCACCCAAGGTTGAAGTTATACTACAAAATGAGATACCAACAGATTTCTATGTTGTAGTATCTGGAGCCATGGTATAAATCCTTTCAAAACTCAAAATTCATACTTGATGTACCCATCTGGAATTTTCTAATACTCTATAAATTCCAGGAGGTGCTGACACACAAAAATGGAATGGAGCAGGTAAATTGTTTCCTTATTGGGCAACATATAATTGAGCAGTTAACTAACAATGTAAAGATGGAGCAATCTGGTTGCACATCTGGATGTGTTTATCCATCATAAACAGAATATCAGATGCACATTCATATCTGTGCATATCTTCTATACAATTTCATCAGCACAGATTTGCAAAATACTGACCACTTGTTCTATGTTTAGAATAAGCAGCATATCTAAAAATAAAAAATCAGCTGGCTAAAAAAAAAAAAAGACTTGTGCAATTATCTTGAAAGTAACCTTTTTCAACTAGAAAGTGAATGTAATCTACTGACTTCTTATTGAAGCAAAAACCTAGTCGAGGTGATGTACAAAGCTTCGAAGTCCAATAATAGTTCACAAGTTTTACGTACCATTAACAACCATATAGAGGCGACAGTTGATATTCTTCTGCAAGGTCAAACCTCCTTGTGTCTTAAAAAGACGTTTGCAATATCCTGGGTATCAAAACATTAGATAATAAAGTTCTGGACGGAACCATTTGTGCTGGAGCAAAATAAAAAAGAGACAACTTCAGAATTAATAAAATTATATGGTAAAAAGTAATGACTTGACATAGTAATACGATTGTCTATAATTCGACTAAGAAAATAAGCGAAATATGCATGCCTTCATTTCATGTGAAAAAGAATATAGCAGCAGCATGTTTACAAAGATGCTATGAGATCTTCTATAGTGATGGATAACAACATCAAATAGCTTAAATCTTGTATAGAAATATATAAAACCAAAATAAAAAAGCAATTTCCGGTAGACAGAAAAGAATAGATCAAAAATATGATAAAAAAAAGATAAAATTTGTGATTTGTATGTGAATTTGATGGAGGGTATTAACCAAAGCCCTTTCTACGTTTCAGTTCTTGACAAAACTAGGCCCAATGGACATGTTTGGGGAAATCGGGGTATTCTTCAACATCCCCCAACCCTTCACGGTGAGAAGCAAGAAACTTTCTCAGGTAGTCCGAATTACTCATCATCACTTCAAGCAACTAGTGCAGCCTCTTGATGGCGACGGAAAGACAATAATGTCCAACTTCACACAGGTTTTCAACTAGCACTACCTCATTCAAATATATCTCTAGATGGAAACTACAAAATTTACGTGTAATAAATCTAAATAATTTATCAAAACGAACATGCACAAATGCCAATTACTTCAGCCTGCAAACATGCAAGCATGCTTTTTGGCCATGTCGTACTGTTTTAGTTCTTTGTTGTTATTGCAGCCTCTTAAAGTGCATAATTCTTTTGTAAGCTGACATGTTTATTCTCAGTATCTGAGGGACTTAAAGAAGGAGGTGCAAGAAGAGTTGCCATTCTTGACAGATCTCTTATTGGACTTGAATATTGAGGTAATAATTCCTATTGAACCCTATTAGAGTCATATGCTACTAGATTGTATTTACAATTTGATTGCATCATCGAAGATGCTAACTTAGTGGATGAATCTACATAAAATAAGGGGAATTCAGTGTTTCAACATAATTGATTCCACTTTTGGTTTATTTAAGTAGCTCATAGTGCAACTCAGTGTAGTGCATGGGCTAATACACAAGGAGAAACATACATAAGGTAAGCATATTATCTGCAAGCCAGGCAACTAGAACATCTTTGCTTAGCTATTATAAGCATAATTTGTTATTAAGTTTAGCAATAATCACACATTTATGGTATCTCTACACGATTATTATCCTCATTCATTTCAACAAAGTGCGCGTCATTTAAAAATATTAAGTCTTGTTTTAGGGACTTCTCTAGTATTTAACAGAAATATTTCTGTGTACGATACATGAAAGGAATAGATCCGATATATGTTGGTTGTTGACTCATTGCCTCTGTATCAATGTGAACGCTTTTAGGAAAAATTCTTCACAAGGCTTTAGTTTCTGCTTCTTTAAGAACCTACCATATCCGACTCATGAAGAACTAAAAAACTCCCAAGAAAATGATGTGGCATAGGAAGCATAAGCAAGAAAAAATGATCATGAAAGCTGAATATAAGTATACATGTATTCATATAACTTGGAATTAATTAAAAGTCTTGCTGAAGTGAAAGACATCTTCTGCCTTATTTTAAAGCTATTTAATTATTAGTGTTCAGTGTACAATAGAGCCCAATTAGCCATTCTTCTCTATATTTATTCGTAGGATGTTGCTATAATATTGTCAAATGAAAGCTAACATTTCTCTTTACATCCCCATTGCAGCAAACCACACCAGTTGATGAATCACAAAACCATGAAGCATCAAATTATGGCCGAGAAGATGGAGAAGGTCGGTGATCTTCAATATACTTCACCACAAAGATAAATAAGAAGAGCAACTAAAGGAACTATCAGAAAAACTTACAATATTCTGAGAGGATATACTCTCACTGTAGGGTGGATAAAAGTATCTTGACAAGCAATTCAATGATCCATATTTTTACAACCCTAGTCTCAATACCACAGTTTTCACTTGAATATAAATTTTCCTTTCTCTGAGTGCTAAGTGTACAAAGTGGTGTCAGAAGCCAGACAATTTTGTCCACGTTCTAAAACAAATAATACAATAAACAAGTTAATGATATTATTTGCAGGAACACCCACTTCTGTACTCTCAAACGCAATTCCTGTGAGGGTGGTAATCCATGGCCATCATCCACATGAGGAAACAACAGACGGCAAAAGGACAGGAAAACTTGTGCACCTTCCAGACTCAATAGAGGACCTTTTCAACTTAGCAGGTAAGCTATCCAGCTGCAACTATGCATTTTATGGTAAAACATATTATTTATTGGAATGTCATTTAGACTTTTAGATTGTAAGTGCCTAATGTGGAATTGAGAGCAATGGATTTCCTATTTATAAAAGATATCTTCTTCAATTTATGAAGTTTCCAACCCTAGTTATGTTGTCATGCAGAGAAGAAGTTCGGGAAAAGAGGAACTACTATTCTCATGGCTGATGCATCTCAAGTGGAAGATCTTAATGCTTTAAGAGAGAATGACCACCTGTTTATATTTTGAATACATGAAAATAAAATATCCAAGTTTTTTTTCCAGAAAAGACAGTTGCATTAACTTCTATAAAATTAATTATAAACAGAATCTTGTCTACAGAAAATATTTGGAATGTAAGATCAAGAACTATGGAATCCAGTGACCTATTATATGCCTTGTTACACACAATTTTCACAAGTTTTAAGTTAGCAAAGATAAGTGTTTACTGGAATTTTAGCTACTCTCCCTGTTGTTGAGCATGTCTAAAACAGAGTAAGCTGCTTTCTGGAAACGCTCTTTCTCTTCTTCTAAAGTTCTTTTCCTCTCAAGAGCAGAATCTTTGCATTTCTCGATGTCTTCTATTATTCCAGCCGAGCTTTGGTCAATTTCACTGTGTATGAAAGAAATAGGTACAAAGACCACGAAAACAGAAAGACGGTCTCATGAATATAATCATTCACATAGGCTAAAATATAGTAGCCACCAAGATCATGTGGTTAATTATATTGGACTATGAGAAAGCCTTCAGAAAAGTCTGCTTGGGGGTGGTGAAGAGAGTGTAAGAGTTTAGAAATGAATATTGTGATGCATGAGGACAAAGTGGTTATGTATGAATGGTGAATTCAGATGCTAGGGTGCAAAAGTTCACTTGGCCAAATGTTTCATACAAAAGAGTGGAATGAAATAATTAGGAAAAAGCAACATCCTCAGCAAGAAGCTTTTTCACAATTAAATTGAATGACTTAGAAAAATACAACGATGTTAATATTGATTGAACAACTCCGTTTACTCACGTAATCATCTTAAGCATATTATCCATTGCAGCTTGAACTTGCTGAGAAAGCTCTGCACACGAATGACCAAGTTATTAAATGAGATGGAAACACAAGTACAGAACCATTCGTATTAGTTGGAATAAAGCTTCTAGATTGAAAAAATCCGATAGGACCACATCAAAATTTATATTATTCATTACAAACAAGAAAGTAGATTTTAACTTACAAACGCATCTTATCAGATTGGCAAGCTAATCAAGAGGCGGAAACTAATAAAAAAACCATTTCTAAGTTAGAAAAGCATAAAAGAGCACGTCTACCAAATGTAGTGTGTATGTGGTGTGCCAACAAACACTACATCTATAACTATTGCTATTATATTAACAATACAACAAATAAATTCAAGCAGCACCTCTGAGAATGAAACATTGGATATTTGTATCGTTTCTAACTTAGTCCCTATTTTCAAATAAGATCCTACATTTAGTGCAGGAATTTCTGTCACCGGAAAGTCTCACTGGATCAATGTCAGCTTTGAGTAATCCAAACATTTGTGATAATCCAATGCCTCAAAAATCTGGCACAGCAAAGCACTCTCCGAGGGCATCATATGTATCATTTTTTGGTAAGAATATCCATAGTAACATCCCTCTATATCTAAGAAGAGATATCTACTTCACTAGCGCCATTGACATCTCAATAGAAATCGCACTTGCAATTTGTACAACACTTTTTCATAAAATAGACTTGTAGCGGGATTTGAACAAAATGAACTAAAAATTACGCTAGTCTAAATGCTTAACCAACTAGAATCAACATTCAATGCAAATAATTGTACTATAGAGAATAAGAACAGCAGAGCAGGGAGTTCTCGCTATCATCGTAACACACAATCAACTACCTGCTGTCGTATGTTAAATAAATTCTACAAAAAAGCAGAATGTTGTTCACAGAATTTTGTTGTCTAAGCAGATATGAAATACTTATCAACAAATTAGGTTCGCATCATGCAAATTCACTCGAATTTGACATAGAACACTCGTGGATTCAAAATTAATTACTGATAATCAATATACATTTGCGCTTAGAGAGTGAGGATTACCGTAGACAACGGTGGAGAGAGGAGATTGTGCGTCGGAAAGTGGAAGAAGTTGCGTATTATCGGCGTGAGAAGGCCGCGGTAAAGAGGACGCCATTAAAGCTTGATCGATAGATTTGAATTCTCAGGCGCTCTCCTTGTTTCTGCTTTTAAATGTTGCCGCCGTTTCTTAGACCACCAGACCAAACAGGCCCGGCCCAAACGAACACCATAACCTGGGCTGGGCCCAGCTGACCACCACCGAAACCGGCCCGCTCCAGGGCCAATATAGCCCCTGAACCTTTCAGCTTGATCCCAGTTAGTGGTGGCCAAAACCCAGTCCCGGCTCAGACCGGGCCGGTCCTGATCGGTCCCAAGGTTGTACATAGCCGGCCATATTCGGTCTTGGTCCCGGTTGAAAAGGTGAATACCGGTCAAGCCATTCTATAATCGGTTATGGGGTCTTGATATTAAAAAAATTAATTTTTTTAAGGATATATGTTTTTAATACGTTATTAAATTTATCGTATCCGTTACTCAAATACACTTTAAAAATATGTTTTATTATAATTAAAATTACATTGTCTAACAAATTGAGAACTTGGTATGTTAATCTCTCAACCAAAACACATATTTATAATGTTTTAAGGCCAAAAGCTACAAAAAAAACGTCTCCCTAACGGCTCTTTTTTTTTTTGAAATTTCGGGACAGGCCGGGCCTTAATCAGTCTAATAACCGGTCTCAGTCCCATAAATCCGACAAAATGCATAACCGGTCGTAACCGGCGGTCCCATATCCGGTCCTCACCAGTCCCGGTTTCGGTCCTCCGACAGTCCCAGGCTGGGTCGGGCCGGTTTGGCCATCACTAGTACTCCCAATTCAATACTTTTTTCTGAAAATCAGTTAAGGAAATGGTCTATCAAGTCCTGTCAAAAATAATCGGTTAAGATTTTTCTAACTAAAATCTCCCCTTTAAACCCTAGGTTACTTTTTTATCTCACTGTTAATTGTTAATTCGACTGCAAGAAAAATTTACTTTATTCTCATAATTAAATTACTTTTTACTGTGAAATCAATAATTTATAAATACATCTTAAATGTTTGATGAAAGTCAAACTCCAAAAAAATCGTATAATAAATCACTAATCTTTGATTAAAATGATTCTTATGATTATATATGTATTTTAATTTTTTATCTAATAAAAATATAAAAATTGTATGATGTTGTAACATGTTGTTTAATGGTATCTAAAGAGAAGTTGTTAAGAGATGGTTATTCCTATTTCACAAGTCAACACAAATAAAAAGTCAAACATCTTTCATCAAAAATAAATATTAACAAAGGTGGCGTTTGTTTTTTTAAGAAATATTGAAATATGAAGTTATTATTTCAGTTTTGATTAGTAAGAGGTGGTGTTGAAGTCTGAAATCTGAATTAATATGACTGTTTGTTTTTTATAATCTGAAGTCTAAAATCTTAATCAATAGTTTGTTTTTGTAAAATCAGATGCAAATATTTTATAAAATTCTCTTGATTTCATACAATTTCTATTGCCGAAATTTATCTCAGTAATTGCTTAACAGATGGAATACAGTAAGAACATTTTGGATACTTTTTGGACTTTCGATGCTATCGAGAATGCCGCCAGTGAGTTTGTTTGCATAAAAAAATCCATACTTTTAGTAGATGATAGATCGTCGATAGAAGTTCTTGTTTTACATTAATCTTCTAGGCTAACCTTTACGTGTGTATGTGTGTGTGTATATATATATATATATATATATATATAGAGAGAGAGAGAGAGAGAGAGAGAAGAGGGAGGATGCATTTCACATCGGTGATGAAAGGACGGTAGCGTCCCTGGTGGAGAAAAAAGCAATATGCAAAGAGAAACAAAGAAGATGAGAAACAAGAGAAATTAAGATATTAGTTTACCTCTTATTTATTTAAACTTTATCAAGTGATAAGAGGTTCTGAAAATAAAAATAAAAAACGTCTGAACAAATCAGACATAAGTAGGTAATTAAAAGCTGAAAAATGAAACAAAACAAACAAGGGTGAAGTGCATTCCATGATATAACGTGTACTATAATAAAATTGGGTTTATATCTCATCAACCAATAAACTGTTTTATGTAACATAAGTCTAAAAGACCAAACGATAAAACGTCATATCCAAAAGTATTGCAATAGGTTTATAAGACGTTTGTAGACGTCTTAACAAATTCTTTTAGAAAATTGTTCAAAAAAAGTGTTTTATAGAAACAAGTGTCCTATAAACATGTTTATATGACACTTCGCATAAGTGCCCTATAAATCTATTATAACACTTTTTAGATAAGACGTTTTATTGTTTGGTTTTATAAATTTAAGTCATACACCGAAAATCCAAACTATTAATCATAGTTTATGTTTCATTTTATTCTGTCTTCTTAAATTTTAAAGAGTTTTTAATTGATTATCAGTTTTAATTTTATAAACATAATATAATTTTGTTTTTTTATCTAATAAAAAAATAAATAATGTATGATGTTGTCACATGTTTAATGGTATTTAAAAAAAAAGTAGTTAGATTAGAGATGGTTGCTTATGTAGGCACAAGTCAAAAGACAAACAAAAAGTCATACATCTTTGGTCAAAAATAATTACCGATTAGAATTGTATTCATACAATACACGTCACACATCTTTATTCTTAAACTCTTTTGATTGAGATTGTTTATTTGAAACAACTTATATTTTTTTATAAAAACACTTATAAATTTATTATAAGTTAGAAGTGTTTAATTTCTTTAAAAAAAAATTATTACCGGTTTGACACCAGTATAAGTTGTTTATCCAAACACTCAAAAGTGTTTATTACCGGTGTCACACCAGAATAAGTCAATAAGTTGTTTTTATAAGCAATTCCAAACACCCTCTTAAGGGGTGTTTGGGATTGCTTATTGTATCTGCTTATTGACTTATTTCAGTCTGGCACCGGTGATAAGTTAATACATAGTGTTTGGTAAGAAAAAATAAACTGCTTATACCGGTGCCAAACTGGTAATAAGCAGTTTTTGATAAGTTAATCCGTCCTGACTTATGAAAAACTGTTTATTACCAGTTTACCATTTTAACCCTATTACCCTTTATATCTATCTCTTTTTCTCCAGATAACATCGATCTCAATCTTCTCCCTTCTCAGATAACATCAATCTTCTCCCTGTCCTTATTTGTCATTTTACAGATATAAGCAAAATTTGCCAAACACTAAAAAAACAACTTATCAGCTTATTGCAGTTTGGTACCACTATAAGCTAATCCAAACACTTTTTACAAAACTCCGACTTGATACCACATAAGTTAATAAGCACTTTTACAAAAAAGCATAAGTTGTTTTAAATAAGCAATCCCAAACACCCCCTTAGTTTATGTTTTGTGTTATTTTATGTCTCTTTCAATTTAATTTTATTATTTACGTATGGTTTCAAAAAATGGAAACAGTTTTCAGTTGGTTATCAGTTATAGTTTAATTGCATTATTATAGTGTATTAATAGGATTTAATGCTTATCATGTACTTTATTATATTTATCTTGTTAGTTTTCAATTAATTTTGCAGAGTTCAAAGGTAGAGTTTTAAGAAGTCGTATATGTGTAGTAACGAGTTGTAATCTCGAATTTTAAAATATAAAAAAATAAAGTAAATGTTTTATAATATAATAAGTATATTAATATAAATAGTTGTAATTGAAAATTGAAGATAAAATATATGGATACGAGACATCAAATTAAAGAAAATAAAATACTTATTTTTATAGAATTTATTTCAGATAAAATTATTGTATCTATACTATATTATAAAGCATTTAACCAAAATTCTTAAAACCTATTTTTTATGCATGAAATAGCGTTTATTGATGCATATTATTTAAAATTCAATATTACAAATAAATTGTACGTAAATACAAATTATTAAGCTTCGTGTTTGAATTCGTGTAAGCAACTGTAGATAAATATAGTAAAATACAAGATAAACATTTTATTTTAAATATAAAAAATCTAAAATATAATTAGGATAATTATTAAGTTATGACAGAATACTTAATTATTATTCTTGTAAAAAATTATATTATTAAATAAAAAATAAATTACTTTGTTATCAAATCTAAATTAAATTATAATTAAAAAATTGAATTATTTATTTTCAAAATTTTATGATACTTTTAAATTTATATTTTATTCAAAAATAAAAATATTATTTATTTATCAAAACCACATAAAAACCGTATTAAAACATTTATAGAAACTGAATAAAATAAAACACTAAAATCGAGATATATCTCATTGCATTACATTTATCCTTCTAGTTTAAAATAATGTAGATTAAAAAAAAGTTAATTTACTGAGTTTTTGAAACGTGATCCATTCATGTGCATCCAAAAACTATTCAAGTTTTTATTTTTATTGTTTATAAAAGGGAAAAATAAAAATATTATATAAATTAAAAAATTGAATTTATATATCTATACTATATTATAAAATATTTGACAAAAAATATTTAAAAACTATTTTTTTATAAAAAGTAATATTTATTTATGTATATTACTTTAAATTCAATAGTATAAGTAATTTTGCGTAAGTACAACTTATTAAAGCTCCATTTTTAAATTCGTATAACTGACTACAGATAAAAATAATTAAATACATGATAAACATCTATTTTAAATATAGAAAATCTAAAATATAATTAAGATAATTAGAGTTCTAACAAAATATTTAATTATTATCCTTACAAAAAATTATATTATTAAACCAAAAATAAATTACTTTGTTATTAAATCTAAATTGAATTATAATTAAAAAAATTGAATTTAAAAAAAACTATACCAAAGAAACGAGAACTAATAAGTAGTTAATTTGATACTAATATTGATTTATATTTTTTCAAAAATTTATATTATCTGCAAATTTATATTTCATTCAAAAATAAAAACATTATCGATTTCTTAAAACCACATAAAATCGTATTATATCGTTAGAAATAAAGAATAAAAATTAAACATTAAAATCGAGATTTATCTCGTTCAATTACGCGAGTACCCTTCTAATATTATTAAATGCTTTAATAGTTGTAT